GGTTCGAGACCGTCGGACGACCTCCCTGCAGAAATTTCAGCTCCGGCGGCCTCCGCACACGCTCTCACGCGCCGCCACACTCCCGGCGAGTGAGGCCCACTCGCAGACACCTCCACCGGCGCGTGGAGGGGCGTGGGCCACTTTTTCCAACTCCGACCAAAAAGTTTTCTGATCTTCTCCTCATCCTCTTTCTGGATCTGTGCTTTCTTCTCAGATCGGACGTCGTTTGGTATTTTTTTGGTGATTTTTGGCTTGTTGGTGTTATCCTTTGACCATTTTTTTGTGCAGTATGGCCTCTTTTCAAAGGAGTTCCTTTACAAAGTTTTCTGATGGTGCATCTTTTAGACCTAAGAGAGATGATCGATGGTGTTCTTATTGTAAAAGAACAGGTCATATCAAGGATCTATGCTTTCGCCTCCATGGAAAGCAAACTGTCTTAGAAAAGATGGCTAGGATGCGTGGTCAACCGCATTTTACTAAAATAACTTCTGCACCTAATGAGACCCAACCTGCATTTCGTCCAGATGAGTTGGAACGACGCCGAATCATCCTTGATTCTCTGAGTAAGGCATCTAATACTAGTGCTTTGACTATGACTGGTATGAGCTCCAAAACTTATTCTTTCCTTTCTTCATGTAATGATTTTAAACATTCTTGGGTTGTTGATTCTGGTGCTACTGATCATATGGCTTGTTGTGCTGACTCCTTTACTTCTTATCATCTCACCATTGGAACTCATACAATAGCCGTAGTTGATGGCTCACATACATCAGTTGCGGGTTTTGGTGACATAAACTTACAGCAGTCCTTACATCTTAAAGATGTTCTTCATATTCCTATACTCTCCACAAATCTTCTTTCTATTCATAAAATTACAAAAGATTCGAATTGTACTGTAACCTTCTTCCCTATCCATTGTGTTTTTCAGGATCTTGCCACGGGGAAGACGATTGGTAATGCTAAAGAGCAAGGTGGGCTGTACTATCTGGTGTCACAATCTCCCGCAACTAAAGTAACAGATCACATCTTGATGTGTCATGGTCAATCAACTGTTGATTCTTTGATTTGGCTTCATCATAAGCGTTTGGGACATCCTCCATTTAGTTTACTCAAGTCTTTATTTCCGTCATTGTTTTTGTCTAATCCTGTTGAGTCTTTTCATTGTGATGTTTGTGAATTTGCTAAGCACCATCGTGTGTCTTTTCCTTCTAGTATTACTAAGAGTGTTGCACCCTTTGATCTTATTCATTCTGATGTTTGGGGTCCTTCTAAAGTCCCTCACGCTTCTGAAAATAGATGATTTATTTCTTTTATTGATGATTGCACTCGTGTAACTTGGGTTTACTTAATGCGTGAAAAGTCTGAGGTACCACAACTGTTCTTTCAATTTTATAAAATGGTTGAGACCCAATTTAGTAAAAAAAAATCAAGAGACTAAGAACAGATAATGGTACTGAATATGTTACTCACAGTTTTTCTCAATTTATACGAAATAACGGTATGATTGATGAACTTACTTATTTGACACCCGCCAACAGAATGGGGTTGCTGAAAGAAAAATCGTCACCTTCTTGAAGTGGCTCGTGCATTAATATTTCAGACACATGTACCCAAATACTATTGGGGAGATGCTATTCTTACTGCAGCATTCTTGATCAACCGTTTACCCACTCGGGTACTTGACCATGTAAGTCCTATTCACTCTATGACTTCTTTTTCCCTTCTATTCCAACTATGAGTCTTCCTCCACGAGTGTTTGGATGTGTTGCTTTTGTTCATGTTCATAAACATCATCGCAGTAAGTTGGACCCTAGGGCTATTAAATGTGTTTTTCTTGGTTATGTTCCTGATAAGAAGGGCTACAAATGTTATCACCCTGGAAGTAGGAATTTTTTTGTTTCTATGGATGTTATATTTCAAGAATCTGAGTCCTTTTTCCAAGGTCCTCATCTTCAGGGGAGAATCCTTCACCAGAAAACTCATCACCTCCCTTCTTTGAGTTTGAATCTTCAGTATCTACTCCTTTCCCTAGGTCAGTGTATCCTCCTCTTGTTCATGTTCCTCATGTGTCTGATCCTCCTATGACTGATCCTCCTGTGACTGATACATCAAGTACACCAGAGATACGGAAGATTATGACACCTGAGTTGGTATATCAAAGAAGGAAACAACCCACATTGCCTCAGCAGCAACCTCAATCGTCTGAACCACTGGTAAGTCCTGAATCTCATATTTCTGATCATGATGTTAATACTTCTGATGACTTACCTATTACTACTGATTCTGATGATTTACCCATTGCTCTTAGAAAAGGAAAAAGATCTTGTCCCAAGAAATCTTGTTCTTCCTATCCCTCTTGTACTCAATACCCTATCTCCCATTTTGTTTCCTCTGCTAATCTTTATGTGCAGCACAAAAGCTTTGTTTCAGCACTAGACTCTATTGCAATCCCAAAATCAGTACATGAAGCCTTGAAAGATGGGAATTGGGCTCAAGCCATGCAAGAGGAAATGAATGCGTTGGAGAAAAATAAAACATGGGAGGTTATTGATAGACCTAATGGAAAGAAAGTAGTAGGGTGCAGATGAGTTTATGCCCTGAAATATAATTCTGATGGAACTCTTGAGAGATACAAGGCTCGGTTAGTTGCCAAAGGTTACACTAAAACCTATGGCATTGATTATAAAGAAACATTTGCTCTAGTTGCAAAGATGAATACGGTGAGAGTCTTGTTATCCTTTGCTGCCCATTACAATTAGGATATAAATCAATTTGATGTGAAAAATGCTTTCCTCAATGGTGAGTTAGAAGAAGAAGTCTACATGGAAATCCCCTGGTTTTGATTCTGTGAAGGGAGAAAATAAAGTTTGTAGATTGAAAAAGGCCTTATATGGATTGAAGCAGTCACCTCGTGCCTGGTTTGGAAGGTTTACTAAGGTTATGATGACCTTAGGATACAGACAGAGTCAAGGAGATCACACTCTTTTCTTCAAGCACTCTCGTAATAGGAAGCTTATTGTGCTCCTTGTATATGTTGATGATATTATTATCACAGGTGATGATTTTGTGGAGAAACAGATTCTGCAAACACGGCTTGCCTCTGAGTTTGAAGTCAAAGACCTTGGGAAACTGAGATATTTCCTAGGGATAGAAGTAGCTCATTCAAGGAAAGGAATTTTTATCAGCCAGAGGAAATATGTTCTTGATCTTCTCAAAGAAGCAGGATAGCTCGGGTGTAAACCCTTTAATACTCCTATTGAGCAGAACCACAAGATAGGCTATGAAGAGGAGAGTCCTCCAGTTGATAAAGGACAATATCAACGGCTAGTTGGGAAATTGATATATCTGGCTCATACTAGACCAGACCTAGCTTATGCTGTTAGTGTTGTCAGTCAGTTTATGCACGATCCAAAGGAGAAACACATGCAGGCATTAGAGAGAATTCTTCAGTATCTTAAAGCTACTCCTGGTAAAGGCTTGTTATTCCGACGTGATGGCAATCTCTCTTTAGAAGTTTACACTGATGCTGATTATGCTGGATTCATGACTGACCGTCATTATACCACTGGTTATTGCATGTTTCTTTGCGGTAACTTGGTGACATGGAGAAGTAAGAAACAAGATGTGGTCGCCAGATCAAGTGCAGAAGCTGAATTTTGAGCTATGGCTCAAGGCATTTGTGAGTTATTGTGGCTGAAAATTGTACTTGATGATCTCAAAATAAAATATGAGGGACCTATGAAGCTGCTATGTGATAATAAGTCTGCTATTTGTATAGCTCATAATCCAGTTCAACGTGATCGGACTAAACATATTGAGGTTGACCGTCATTTCATCAAAGAGAAACTTGATAGTGGGCTGATTACCACTCCATACATTCCCCTGGGCGTCAATTGGCTGATCTATTAACAAAGGGACTTTCTTCAGACAGATTTCAAGAACTTACTAGCAAGCTGAGAATGATAAATATCTATTCCTCAGCTTGAGGTGGAGTGTTGTAAATATTGGTTATTTAATTATTATTATTTGTTGTATTGGGCCAAGCCCATTAGGTCAAGTATTAGGTCAAATATATATAGAGACCTCTTTGTACAGATTATTTACACAATTTTAATAATATTTCAAATACATTTTTCTTTCAAGTGGTAGTATATATAACTGATATCCATTTCAACTTTCAAGCAAAGGTCGGTGCCTCTATGACCTTGTCACTTGTGGTGGGAGCAACACGTCTAATTTGGATGGCAAACTACAAAAGATTTTCTTCTTTGTTTTTTGTTTTTTTGGGTTCCAAGAAGTAAAGAACAATATACTAGCTACTAGCCATTGTGATTTGAAATAAACAAGCAGCAAAAATGTTGCCAACTGCTTGTGAGTTGTGATTCACTAGTTGGAATTGACCACAGACAAAACATAATGTAAGATTTAATTGTGACTTCTCGCACTATAGGAAATTGACAGGAATGGATAATCTCATCAATTAGTTAATATGAACATGTTATGTAAGAAGATCTTAATCATTTATGGATAAATTAATTTTTTTTTTTGTATACATGGATAAATTAATAATGATAGAAAATGTGAGAGAAAAAAATATTAGAATAAAGATTGATAAGATTATCACCATTAATATATTCATAAATAATTAAGATTCTCTCATATAATATGATCATATTAACTAACACTAGCCAGAATTCAGTCTCTAAATTGATACATAGGCTTTTTGAAACCAAAATGTTTTCTGAACCAGTACCTTTATTTTAGTTAGGACATTTTCCTAGCCCAAAAGTGGGTTTGCTTTAAAGGCCCAAAGAAATCAGTCCCCAGCATGCCACTTCAAACAGAAGATCAATTGGGAAGTCTGGGATGAAAATGTAAAATTGTCTATCCTTACCCTTATTTCCAAAGACTTATTAAAGGTAGTAAGTCACTTCTCCCTCCAAAAGAAGCATTCTTCTTCTTCTTCTGGTAAATGACACAATCTTGTTCACTGAGGTTCAATGGCTTCTTCCTGTTGTTGTTCATTTTGGTTTCCAGTGTACTTTGTCGTATCTGTAACACTGGGAGTCATAGCCATTTGCTCAGCAGTGAGTTCAAGTTCCAAGAACTCACCCCAAGAAATCGCACCCATAACCCATGACCTCTCAATGAATGCCTCCTTTGCTCTCAGAAGAGCAGGATTCATTGTCATGGCTGATCTTCTCCACCGTTCACCTCAATTCTTCCTTCCTCCTCAAAACTCAACCATCTTTGCCATCAAAGACTCTGCTATCAGAAACACCTCTCTTCCTCTCTGGTTCCTCAAAAACCTTCTCCTCTACCATACCTCCACCTCCAAGGCCTCCATGCAGGACCTCTTAAACAAGACCCCAGGTAGTTGCATCCCAACCCTTTTTCGTCAAAAGAATGTAGCTGTCACAAAGGTTGACCATGCACAAAGATCCGTTGAGATCAATCACGTGTTGATATCAAACCCTGATATATTTCTTGGAGAGCAACTAGCCATTCATGGTGTTCTTGCACCGTTTTCTTCCTTGCATCGTCAAGATCCTCAAGGGGCTTGGGATTTCATTCACTCTGCGGCTTGTCGTTCCAATTCTTCAATAATGTTTGATGAATCCAAGAACGTGGTTGAGTGGAACCGAATTGTCCAGTTTCTTAGTTCAAAAGGGTATGCTTCGTTTTCAATTGCATTGCATTCTGTTCTTGATGGGATTCAGAAAGATTCAGTGGGTTTGGGTTCAGCTACAATCTTTGCTCCTCCTGATTTGACATTACTTGGATATCCTTCAACTTTTCTTCATAGAGCTGTGAGGCTTCATATACTGCCTCAGAGGTTTAATTACACAGAACTCACTTCTCTGCCGGTTAGGACTTTGTTGAAGACACTGGTGCCTGATGATGATCTTGAAATTGATGGGGTTCTAGATTTTATACCAGGGGTGGTCATTAATGGTGTGGAGATTGTGGCACCTGACATGTTAACTTCTGAGAAATTCGTAGTTCATGGGATTTCTAGAGCTTTTAAAATGGCTGAGCTTATTGGATGAAGAAGACATTGAAGGTTAATGGTTCACAAAGTAGTCCATACATTATGATAGACACAGGCAAATTTGTATCATTTTTACTTTCTTTTTATGCTGAACACATAAATTCTCATAATCTCTAGCTTCCTCTGTTACTTATAATGCTAAATTTCCTGCTTCTATTCTACCATATACAAGTAACTTCTTTATGTATATTATTTTCCAGTTGCAGTTGGTTATACCATTAAAAATAGGTTGAAGTGTTAATTTTTGGTTAAGTTTGAAGTTTACCATCATGTTGACAAGCTTCAAGGTAGGCAAGCATCATGTACTCTATTATTTAATTATGATATCAAGAAATTTAAATTTACAAATTACAAGGAATGGTTTAAATTTCCCCCTTAGATGTTGCTAGAACAATCAGCCGAATCAAGATGTAGTGTAATTAAGTTGAGGGCGCAACCCAACCACAGCATTTTTGACTATGTTTTTAAATCTGCATCATTCATTAATCACAATCACCGTAAGTTTCAGATGCTGTTTTCTCACTGAAGAGGAACAGGGTATCTATAGCACTCGGTGGCAGCGAGGGATGAGTAATGTTGCTTAATCTACTAGAGTGGCGAGACAAGTACTAGCTCATATAATGCCTTAATAGCCGAAGATCACCTGATCCTATATTCCAACACACCATAACAAAAATGATGTTACGGTGTAGTTGTAATGGGGCGGCTCAAGCTCAATCTAAAAACCAATTCAACGCAAATGTGAGATTACATTAATGGTTTTATATATATTGATACGCTCCCTCACACGAAAGTTCATTGGGCTGTTGACAAGCACAAGCCTACTTACCTGTGCGAAGAAAGAAATTCCACTACAAAAAAAGTGGGGGTAATAAGGTTCGAATCCGAGACACAAGACTTTGATATCATGTAAAGAACCTTGAAATACACCACCAAAAGCTAACTCAAAGGGTGGGAGTGCCCAGAACCTTATAAACTCTAATGTATATCTCAACACTCAATAACATGCCACTTGCCTATTCTATTCTTTGCCCTCTCTTTTTATTAATTAAATAATGTTATTTCTACCCAAAATTTATATATCTACCCTTCATACATATTATTTTTGAAAATAACTAATTTCACTCTCTTATTTTAATACAAACGCAAACATACAGTTATGCATACGCGAATCTATACTTTTAATTTTCTCATTAACAGTTAGAATTAGGCTTTTTACTATTTGAAATGTACACCCCATATTAACGAGAGAATCTTACACACTATAAGAATATCATAATACTCCAAGAAAATGTAACACGTGTTCATATACTTATATATGTTAGATTAAATATAAAATATTATTAAGTTAGATACAAAACTGCAATAGAATTTCTTTGTGAGTGTATTAGTATTGTTCATATTTGATGGATATAAATCCCTTATATATTGATCGAGCATATATATATATATATGGGTCAGGATCATTTTACACCAGTGTAAGTTACACTCTTAATCTTATCCGTTGATTCCACTTATATCTAAGGGTTCTAATTTTTTAGAAATGTGAGCCATTGGATACAAGTGGATCAATGGTCAAGATAGGGTGTAAGACTTCTAACTCTTACACCGGTGTAAGAATATATATATATATATATATATATATATATATAGGGTCAGGATCATTTTACACCAGTGTAAGTTACACTCTTAATCTTGATCGTTGATCCTATTTCTATCTAATGGTTCTAATTTATTAGATATTTGAACCGTTAGATTCAAGTAAATCAATGATTCAGATTTGGTGTAAGATTTCTAATTCTTACACTGGTGTAAGAATATCCCGCCTCATATATATATATATATATATATATATATATATATATATATGACAAAATAATTTGTAATGTGACTGCATATAAGGATTGATGTAGTCACTTAAAAATTATGTCGTTTTGGGTGGGATAAAAGAAATTTGCGTTCAAAATTAATTGTAAAAAATAAAAATATTATATTTATTGCTATCTTTGTATGGTTATGATTCCCAGATTTAATGCTTTATATTTATTTTCACTTTTGTAGGATTATAATTTCTCATATTTAATGCTTTCACACTACAAAACGACATAGTTTTATCCTATGAAGCACCGACACTTCAAAAACTCTGACGTGTCGTGTCCGACACTCCCCGACACTCTAACGCGTGTTATAGAAATTCAAAAAATGGTTCAAAGGTTGTGTTGCGTTGAGTTTTTAATTTCAACTATTAGATTCGGGGATATGTTATTCTACCTACTCCCTTCTTGCCTACCTTTTGCCTACCCCTTTCATCACCGTTGGATCACAATCTAATCCAACGATTCATAATTGCAAAATAAAATAACCCTTTTTTTCTTTCTCTCTCCTCACTTCCTCCCACACCTTTTCTCTCTCCTCCCCTTCCTCTCTTCCTCTGTGATCCGGACACTTCCTTTTGATCTCTTGATACCTTTTTTTTTCCTTTATCTCTGATCTCTGCCGAAGTGAACGCGCGCGGGAACATTATGCGATTTATCGACCACAGCATTTAAAATTATAAACATAGGCAAATGAATCATTGAATAATAAGAACATGCTTGTTCGGCATGCACTTGAGCTATCTATACAGTAGGACCGTGAAAGAAAAGGAAAAAGAGAAAGGCAGAGAGGTAATGTGAACAAATCGACATGCTTCCATTTTTATTTTCGGAGATATCCACGATTTTTGTACGAACAAACTCATTCAGAAACAGTTGTTTGTCTTCTTCAGTGTACAAATTCCCAACTTTTTCTGCTCCAATTCCCAATCTTTTTCAGTTCTAAAATTTTTCCACTATCTTACAACAATTCATCTAATTTCTTTCAATTTTGCTTGAAGAATCCCTGCGTTTTTGTTTCATGGGTTCGTTTTGGGAACCATAGAGCGCCATGACCAAACCCAACACTTTTTTTAAAAATATCGTAAAGCTCTTCAAATTCGGTTCCAATAGAGGTAAACCAACAAAATCTAACTCTTTTTTTAAATACCCTTTTCTGAGTTTATTTTCTTTGAATTTATTTCCTGGTTGCTGAATTTGTTGATTATATTAAGATTCTATGCTTCCTGGGTTCTTGTATCATCTCCAATTGGTGCCACGGTTCATGGATATTTTTATGGTATAGGTAGTTCGCAGAAGTTCGACTTTTCGGTCTCTCCTACTCCTACACATGAAGGTCGGTTGAATAAAAGTTTAGATCTTGTTGATAATAAACCATCCTCTGATCCACAATCTTCCACAATTTCGTCTGATCTCTCTAGTGATAGCAACATAGAACAAACTGAAACTAAATCAAATTCACCAGCGATGAAGGAAAAAAAAAAGGACGGCGTTGAGGAAGAGAGAAAGGGAAGGAGAGAGAAAGGGTGTGGGAGGAAGTGAGGAGAGAGAAGAAAAAAAAAGGTTATTTTATTTCGCAATTATGAATCGTTGGATTAGATTGTGATCCAACGGTGATGAAAGGGGTAGGCAAAAGGTAGGTAAGAAGGGAGTAGGTAGAATAACCTATCCCTTAGATTCGTTGAATTTCGATTAACATTTTATTAAGTTTAATATAATATTTGAGATATCTTATGTTTCTTTGCAAAATTGATGAATATTATAAGTTTAGTTGCATTTTTTGTTAAATTAAAAATATTATATAATATCAAAACGTGTCCTAACGTGTCGAAATCTAACATTTTTTAGAATTAACGTGTCGGAGTATCGTGTTGTATCGTGTCACGTGTCTCGTGTCAGTATCGGTACTACATAGGTTTTATCCGCTAAACCCCATATATATATATATATATATATATATATATATATATATATATATATATGAGACATGTCCTCCATATAACTTTATTTAACAGCTGTGAATCTATTCATCAATTGTGAGAAGCTATGATCATGTCCTCCACGAACGTATCTATATGATCTTATACTCCACAATTGATCCGGACCTTGATGTTTGTAAATAATGCGAAAAATAAATAAATAATACCTCATTTAAAAAATCCAGAAAATGATTACATTGTTTCATTGTCTTACTCCAAGAGCACAATGAACCCAATATCTCTCACTCGCTTAATGCAAGTCTGGGATCCTCCTAAGACCCAAAGAAGTAACATGCCTCTCGAACACAAGTTCAGACAAACTCTTAGTAACTTGGTCTGAAAGATCTACCTATAATGCTATCTGAGTTTAGTGAGAAAAACTCATAGCTCGAGGTTGATTTCTTGAATCAATATCCACTTGAAATAACTGAATTTGTGAAAACTCAGCTTTCCAAGACTCCCACTAGAATATACTAGCATTTGTACGTTGCTTTGATTCCTAAATTTTATGTGTTTTATGCAAATTTTTGTGTGTTTTTTATGCAGATATAATGTTTTTTTTTTATTTTAGGAGTTTTTTTTTTTATTTTAGGCGGGTTGACCCGCAGCCCGCCAACCATTCATAAAATGGGACGGGTCGCTAAGTTCATTCCCTTTTGTTAAAACGGGATGGGCCAACCCGTCCCATTTTGGGCGGGCCAGCCCATTTTGTCAGCCCTACTTTTGGTGTCAAAAGGACGCTTGCACTTAAAACATTTGTATAGGCCATTGTGGCGTTCCAAATGTTTTTCTAAATCTTTCTTATCTTTAAAATATTTCGTACACTTGTGGCACATGTGATTCGTGTCCATCCTATCACTATAGTCACTATCGAAAGCCATATAGCTACAGAAATTTTCAATAGCAAAATTATGAGATATATTTGCTTGGTTTTGTTTAAGCATTAACTCTGCATTTCTGCAATCAATTTTTATAGAATAATATGTGCAAATTTGTATGATCGTTGGAAATTAGAAAATTGGTTTCGTGTTAATGTTATTAAAACCGGTCCGGTCATTGACCCGGTCGATGTAGAGGATCAAGGGGTCACTGGTTCAACCGCATGACCCGGTGATTATATGCAATTTTATAATTTATATTAAAAA